ACGTTACGTACGTACGTACGTACGGTACGTACGTACGTACGTACGTACGGTACGGTACGTACGTAACGTACGTACGTACGTTACGTCGTACGTGTACGTACGTACGTACGTCGTACGTCGTACGTACGTCTCTCTCTCTCTCTCTCTCTCTCTCTCTCTCTCTCTCTCTCTCTCTCTCTCTCTCTCTGGATAGTGATTCAATCTGTTGCTTGGAAGTGATATGTTTAGCGTGTAGATATGCTAGCGATTATGCAGAGTCCAGACCTCCACTGCTGTGTCCATGTTACCTGGTTAATGCATGATAATCTAGTCTTTGTGCTGTTAATACACTATTATCAGTTTGATATCTTTAGCTGTGAATTACTGGATTAAGTGTGTGATTCCTGCGCCCACCTTATGTAGCTGCTCCCCCCTTAAAAGACAAATGAAAGCATGTTTTCCATAATCCTCGTGATAATAGATATCTCATCACGAGGATTGTTACATCCATTCAATGTTTGGATGATGGAGAGACCGGAACTCATCAGGATGAAAAGAGTTCTCACGATCACACTCAACCCTATGGCTGGACAGATGATCTTCATGGTACATTCGGAAGGATCAACATGTTCTTCTACCCTCCTAAAAACACGGTTTGGTGACCCGGATCGCCCGCTACAAAACTAGTTCAGATCGGCAATCCAGCCTAGTGAACTGGTGACTAAAAAATTTAAAATTAGGGAAAGAGCGGTTCTCTGACAGAACCGGCTAGCAGTCAGAAGTAGCCAGCTTATGGGGGGGAACTGGCCGGTTTCTTACATTTAATAGGATCCGGATTGACCTGATTGTTTCCCAATTCGAATTGGCCTGTCCAATTCCCATCACAAAGTTTTTAAAACCTTTGGGTGCAGCTAGTCTATGTGATGGATAAATTAATGCAAGTCTTTCGGGAACTAATTTATAACTTTCCACGTCCATTTTGTAGTACCATTCAGTAAGTCCTATATCCTTGCCAAACGTTGTTTTCTTGCTTCCTCTGTTCGTTTGTTATGGTGTAAAGCTCTCTTTGGAAAGCTTTTCACCCCATGGGAAAGTGCTTTCACTCTTAACTAGATACAAGGCTGCTTTCTTACCAAAATGCATGGAGTACCCTACGAGCCACTCATAGACAGGTGAAAGTAATAGTCCAACAGGAAAGACTTTATCAAAGTTCATTCTAGCAAAACAGACGCCAACTAGGAACTATTTGTCGGGGTTCGAACTAGGAAGTACTTGTGGACATATATAGGGGTTCGAACTAGGAAGTACTTGTGGACATATATAGTGCGGCTGATTGCTACAACAATGGGAGAAAAATAGTCGTCTCGGTCATCACCACCATCCACTGATCCCTATGGACACCACAATCATCACCATTCAGTGAACGAGTTGGCGGGTTGTGAGGAAGCATTGAAGTCATGTTGATGTTGTGCGTCCTGCCCTCTCTCTATATTTACCTTTCAGTGATTGGACTGTATCGTGACTGATGAGTTAAGAGATTGAACATTTTGTAGCGTGCAATGGCCTCCCATCTTAATCTGTACAGTACTAAGTTGTTGGAGAAGGTCCATCAAGGTCTCCAAAATATATACAATTCAAATGGAAAGTGTACCTATTTGTATATAGGAAAATTCACAGGTTCTGCGATGTTAAAAAGGAAATTTTGAAGGCGCCTACTAAGGGTTCTATGAAATTTTATATGGGGTAAATATCGTACAAACCCCTATAAACCTTCATTATATTAAACCCAACCTTTTGTTTTGTATTGGCGGCATTAGAAAAACATAAAAAGTATCATCCAACCCCCTATTACGTCCCACTTTTATTTTTATATCGTTATCCATATGAATTACCTTCGTCAATTTCCCTTATTACATTTAGGGTCATTTTTCTCCTTTACTCTTTTAACCCAGTAATTTGGCCCTTTTCAATTAAATTTTGGTCTAGTTTCTCGCTCGGTTCTCACATATCGACCAGTAGCAAGAAGCCGTATGTATTCCTTGCTCTGTATGTGCCACTTCATTTCTTCCATGTTTGGGTGGGTTTGTCTCTTGCATGTTCGATACATGGCCTCGTGTTGAAATTATGGCTAAGGCCGTAAATCCAAGATTCCTCATTCAATGGGAGTGAGTGAGAGATGAGGATTCTAGGTGTTTGGCTCGCTGGGGCCAAGATCATATACCTCGAGTATATTAGACAATGAGACAAACTGGTAAGAGAGATATTGCTTTTAAAAGTGAGGGTAACCTCTGAATAAGATATATAGAGAAATTGCCAAAAAAAAAAAAACACAAATATGACCACGTTTTATGCAACTTACTCCCAACTTAACTTTTTCTCTCACTTTTTCCTCAAAATACACTGTCTATACAAATACCCCCCAATCAAAATAAAAATAAAAAAATACCTAAACTACCCTCCCTTACTTTTACCTTACCCACGTTTTTCTCCTCTGTTCCACCAAAATAGGGCTCTAGCATTGTGTAAGTGCAGTCCGGCAGTAGAATACTCTTGAGTCATAGGGCTCTGGCACTATGTAAGTGCGGTCTGGTAGTAAAACACTCTAGAGTCACAGGGCTCCGGCACTGTGTAAATGCGGTTCGGCAGTAAAACTTATGGAGTCATAGGGCTTCGACAGTTGCAAAGGGCGGTCCGGCAATGGATACTTCTGAAGTTACACGGTTTCAGCATTGTGTAAGTGCGGTGTAAGTGCGGTCCAGAAGTAAAAATTCTAGAGTTACAGCGATCCAGCAGTTGCAAAGGGCGATCTAGAAGTAGATGTTACTGGATTTCGGGGCTCCAGCACTATGTAAAGGGTAGTCCGGCAGTACTCAGTTTCTATCCAGTAGTTGTCTGAGGGCGGTCTGTCACTTAAGTTTTTGGAATAATGGATCCGGCAATGCGATGTTACGCTTCGGCAATGTGCTACTAGGGTTTGAAAGTCAACCTCAAATCTGGCTAAAATGATTTTTGTGTATAAGAAGGGCATTTTCGTCTAAAAATAATGAACTTTTTCCCTTGGGGGGTACTTACATAGATAGTTTGTTTTGGGGAAAAAAGTGATAGAAAAAATTAGGTTGGGGTAAGTTGCATAGAAAGTGTGGTCTTCGGGATTTCTTGTAATTTTTCCTTAAATATATGACTCATAAATAATGTGTTGGCTAGGGCTAAGAGAACCAAGAAGAGATTAGGACTCAAGTATCTCAAGTGTAACGGCCTTGTATAAGATGCTCATGACTCATGGGACATGGGTCCGTACTCTGACACGAGACCTCCCTATGGCATGTACACTCATAGTCACATTGGGAAGCTACTCTTCAAAATATATGATATAACTAGGAAGAGTTTGTGTACATGTGCCTTTAAAGGACCCATGTATATAAATGTTAGTATGTCCTCAGGGGTGTACATGTAATCCATTGACACCCGAGAATGATGAGACATTGATTTGGGTAACTTTGATAAGCCATATTAAGCATCCCCGCCACTGACTATAGAGCATAGGCTTGCTAGGTCATTCCGAGATAATGGATTGTCATTCCGAACTAGCTTATGGTGTACTCCGATAACCTAGATTTCAGCCAAAGATGTCCATTTAACGATTGTCCATTTTGCTGTGATGTCATAATAATTATTTTTCATATAAAATCATTTATAAAAAATTTAAGAATTTTAAATGATTTTCTAATAATCTTTTGAGATTTTTTAGAATTTGTTTGAAGCATGAAATGGGTTGTGTCAACCCAAACTTTTCTCGGTCAGTTAGAATGCATGGCGGGATAAAGAGGAAGAAGTGCCAGTGTCGGCTGAGCTATGAGCAGCGCCGGCTGTGAAGAGAAGAAGTGACAGCGTCGGCTAAGTTGTGAGCAGCACCAACTGTAAAGAGAAGAAGTGTCAGCGCCGGCTATGTAGGAGAAGAAGTGTCAACACCGGCTGTGTTGTGTACAGAGATCAGAGACCAACGCCAACTGTGTTGTGTGCAGGAGACCAGCACCGGTTGCGTTACTGATATGCATGAATTATGAGTGCCACTTATTAGATGCACACTAATGTGAGTGCCACTTGTCCAGATTTTAAGTCTTTTGATGAGACTTGGACCACCACCCAGAACATAAGAGTACTTAAGCCTCTCCTCTTACCCACGCCACCCACTCTTCCCTCATTTCTCCCCTCTCTAAGACCCAAGGTTTGAAGAAGTGATTGTTGGAGGGCAGTCATTGTTGAGCAGGTGAGAACGAATAGAGGATTGGAGAAGGCCCCATTGTTATTCAAGTAAGTAGATCCATCACCATTACACTGTAGTCATAAGGATGCATGAGAATTTATGCATGTGAAATGAGCAATAGAAGTGTATGTGTTGTAAAAAATCCTTACAGCTTTTTCACTAGAATTTGGGGCTTTGTTCTATGATAATGATGGATGTTGAGAATGAATGTATGATTCTTACATTGTGTAAAAAATGCATGTCATGTGTATTCATATTGTGAGGGAATGGTTGTTATCATGTTTCTTACCATGACATAACGGTTATGGAATGTATTCTTCAGACATGTTATATACCACTGTGAAATTCCATAATTTTGGAAAGATATATGAGTCTACTAAAATGTTCATTTTTTCCCACTGTTGAAATTCTTTATGAAAATGAAGTCACATTTCAAAATGAGAGAGTATACCATTTTTTACTATTTTCCTAGATTTTGCACTAATCTTGCTATGGTTACTAGTTTTCACTAACCAAATGAAGTCCATTTCTTGTCAAACCATATCTATTTGAAAGATATTTGAATGGGCTAAAATTTGCATGAGGAAAATATTTTGAAATTCTTTTTAGATTGAAAGTTATTCTTCAACTTAAGGTATGTCACTGTGGGCAGTATTGATAAAATTCAGAAAGATCACTCTGCTTGGCACGAACTTTTGAACTACCAAATGGAATCCAAACGCTTTCAAATTTACCTTGTTAGAAAGATATACGACTTGGCTTCAACTTTGATTTTGAAACCGTCACAAGTTACCTCACGGTTTGAAAAGTTATAGTGATATGAAGCAGGGTACCTCGCTGTCCACTGTATATATTAGGGTGCAGCTAGTTAGCCCTCACCTCTTGGAACCTTTAAGAGGTCAAACGAGGCCCATTTGTCTTCAAACCACTCCCATTTGAAAGGTAGGAGTGTCTAGTGGGAAATTAGTTTTGGAACTATCTTTAACTTCCAAAGGAATTTGGAGTTATGACCATATTTTGACCAAATGTCTCTACCTGAAATTGCAGGAAATGTGACAACGACACTAAGATTCTGTGACTCTGATAATGTGATCATTTAATGTTGATACTGATATAATATGAATTTGATACTATTAAAAATGCGATTCTGATATTGTCTGATTATGCTATATGAATATGGATTTCTAGCTACTATACAATGGGTCCTCTATTGGTAGTGGAAACTGTGATTCTGTCATATTGATGTTCTTATATGTCTTGACCTCTACACAATGGGTCCTCCATTAGTAGTGAATATTTCCTTTTGATCTTGTTAAATGAGAACTGATATTCTGTGATTTCTTGCCACTATGCAATGGGTCCTCCATTGGTAGTGGATATTATGATTCTGTTATATGAATTCTGTTATATGTGATTTTCGGCCACTACGCAATGGGTCATCTATTGGTAGCAGATATGCTGATTCTGTCACCGTTACGCAATGGGTCATCCATTGGTAGTCGGGTATTTTATACCTCGATTCCTATAATAGGAGTGGAGTCGAGATGTAACTGTAAATAACTTGGAGGGTCACACCCCCCGAATTGCTATAAGCACTACGCATTTGGTCCTCCAATGGTAGTGTAGCGCCCTCTCGCCTAAGGCACAAGTGAGGGTCATGTCTTACAAGATTAGCTTAGCCTGATCGATGTGGCTTCTACTTCGGGAGTAAATTAATTGTTCTGCTTATCTGATTTATGTATTATGTAAGACTATCTGATGGTAACTGGTAGATACATTTTGAGGACAAGTAATGCTCCGTTAATTGATTCTTACCCTCGTTATATAGCTTTCATGTGTACTCTGATATGTGACTATACTCTGTAAGACAAATGCGATTTCTGATGAACTATGGGCATGTTATCTTGTATTATGTATATTGTTAGTCAGGAATGCAAGCGTAGTGATCTGCTTACTGGGTTTTTAACTTATTCCATCTTAATCTCATAATTGTAGAGTGAAGGGTGGCGGCAGCTGCACCAAAGGTGGGTGGTAATTTGAAGGCTTGAAGCCCGAAATTAAGAAGTTTGAGAAGCCGTCTTCCAAAGACTTTCACAATATGTTTTAGTGATTTCAGCAGCATGATGTATACTTCATTTTGTGTATTTTGGGCCAGTACTGCCTCGAAGAAATTGTAAAGACTTTTGATATCAAATGAATGAAATGGTTATACCTTTGGTTTGATTCTTGTTTGATGAATGGATTTATTCTAGTTTTCTTCATGGTTTGCTCTCGATTCTATGTTTTTATGCGTTGAGCCACTCTCACCTGAGTGACGTTCGCGACCTCCATTCACGATCCTGCACTCTGTCGCCCTCCGGCAGGGATCAGGGAGCGGGGTCGTGACATGGGTTTTTTTAAAAAAATTGTTTAAACTAGTGAAAAGGCCCACATGCCACCCCAATGGATATAGAGTGGCACATCGCACCCCATAGTACCCACGTATATGTGATGTCAGCATGGCATCAACATGACGTTAAAGCCTGTAGGGCGTTATTCTCTATTGGCTTTTGGGTATTTGTTTAGAAGAGTGTTATAATGTTTTAATGAGAGAAGTTATTTTATAATTTAAGTGACTATTTAGTCATGATATTTTCACACACTTATGTCTTCATTCACATATATTTAGGGTTTTGGGTATGCCATAAAATTATGGTTTAAACCCTAATCTATGATTAGAAATGATATTTAAAGTAGCTTCTTGTGTGCCATCACATCATGGGCTTGAGCCATGTGAAACTTTTGAATTGGCTTCATCCTATAAGTTGATGATAAGATATTTCAAAATCCACAAGAAGATCTTGCCCCTCTCTTTATTCTTTATTTATTTTCAAAAGTGTTGGTTATGTGGAATTTCAAGTCTTTAAAGCGAAGAATCTTTCACGTAGTAGGAGCTACAGGGAGACTGAATCTAGGTGCTTGGCGCACTGGGACCCAGATTCATATACCCCGAGTTTTAAGAGGCATTGAGAGCTTGCGTTTTGAGAGAGTGATCTCTCAGGAAGGTATGATGGTCACCTCCTAG